ATTGCCTAAGCAATAAAACCTTAAAAAGTGGACACAGATGCAATCGAAACACTGAACTATAACACTATAATATGATGCCTAATATGAAAATGAAACATTCAGCGAATAAATTCCATATTGAAGATTTTACAAAAGCATAGGTTGTCTGGAAAACTAATTTGGCCTAACTAAGAAACTAAGACCATATAGGTAAGTATGCCTGATAAGTTAGACACTAATGTATGTGAAAAATTCAACTATCCCTAAAATAACAATTGAACACTAGTATTTACTTAAAAATCCATTCATCTGATGAGCATCAGTCAGTCAGTTAATCAAGTCGGTATCAATATGCGATTACAGATGTCTACGTAACATTCCTTACATTCCACGGATTCACTATGTCAGTAATGTTTTGATCAGGTGAAGGGTAGTAGCCAAAACATGTAAGTCGATTGATGAGGTTATGAACCTTGGCCAATTAAGATGGTTTGAACATGTACTGTGCATCTCAAACTATCACCTACGTGATGCGAAATGTTAGGGGAAATTGGACTAGGTTGAAAGAAGATTCAAAGTGATCGGACCAAAACCTGGCACTTGTCAATGAAGTCCATGAGTATTGATTTGAGCCAAATGAGATGTAGACTGTCTGGTTCACATCCCCTAGAACAAAGGAACCATTAGTTGAGGACTCTCAGCAAAATGGTGTAGATGTATTCACTCTCTGATGTCTTCGAAAGCTAGAATATTCACACTTACAAATCGTTTATTCTTTCAAACATCTTTATCTACTTTGACAATTTTTTTTCTCGATCCACCTGTCCTTTGTTCACTATGGTAAAGTGTGGAAACTTAAGCCAATGAACCTGTATATGAGGCTCTACGTTGATTTTGTCAGTCAGTCAGTCACTATGGGAGCTGACATTATATTACTGCCTAACAGTTCAAAAGTTTTCATGTATCTGGCAAGTAGAAACTCAATTTTTTTAAAGTCAACTGCATTTCTTGTAACCCAAAAACTGTTTTGTTCAACGAGTCTAGGAATATTCAGCTATAGAGCTAATTGTTGAGTACAAAACTGCAAGCATGTGAGAATGCTCATATGAAATAAGAATAAATTAGAAACTGGAACCACTAACAACGAAAAAATACTGAAGATGTTAATAATGGATCGTGGCTAGCAGTGGAATCTAGGATGCGCATTTCGTCCTATTTGGGACTCCTCAGTTGGATGTACCTACTTCCCAGTGAGTGATGTTGTTCCCATCGGGATTCGGACTCGGGAGTGATCGCTTCAAACGCCAGAGCATTATCCACTACACCACTGAGCCACTTCTTGTGCGACAGATATAGTTTTTAGTATAGTTGCTTTTTTTATATGATACCGTCGTTGATTGGACCGAATTGATAGGCCTCTATTGGCATATGGGCTCCTGTGCTGACGAGTCCCAAATAGGACGAAATCCCATGTACCTAAATCGAACTCAAAACATTCAGGATTTAAAGGTGGATGCGTTAACTATTCAATCACTGGGTAGGAATTAAGTAGTCTATTATTATTATTATTTATTTTTTCCCTTCGGTTCCTAGTGGAACATAGGGCTTCAGTAGCACACCTCCATTCCACTCTGTTCTCTGCAGTCTTTTGAACCTGGAGCCACGACTGTCCACAAGCTTTTATTGCTTCCTCGCATGATCTGTAGTTTCTTAATTTTATCAACTCGGAACAAAGCGCAACTATTATCCAACGTCTTCAATTGGCATCCACTTCATTTCTGACTGGTTGACCCTATAGATCACGGCTCCTCATTAGAACTTCAAGATATCCATCTCAAAGCATCTCACTGAGTACTATAAATTATAGAATATTGAACTCTGACCCTGTGATTGAATGTCTAACGCGTTCACCCTGAAATCCGAACATTCTGAGTTCAATCCCTGCTGAGGTAGTGGGTGTATACTACTGAGGAGTCTCATATTAGGACGCTCATGGGGTTTCAATGGTTCTCCAACTGATGTCAGTCCATGATGACTACTACCTTAAATACAAATAGCAATCATCTGTTTGACACTACTAACTACCACACATTCATATTCATAACAATTCATAATATCAAACTATGCCGGTTGTACAAGAGATGTATCTTATGGTTCAATAGCCTATCAGATAACGTTTAAGGTGATCATTGTGGGTTTCGAGTCTCAGTGGAAAAACCACCATTCACTGGGATATAGGTACATCCAGCTGATGAGTGAGTCCCAGATAGGATAAGACATGTGTCTTATCTTATCCACAGAGGAATCAGCCTGTAAAATATAGTGTCTAGGTTTTATAATTCTTCGACGCCTGAGTGGAGCTCGGGAACAACAAACCCGAGAAAACCAAGCAGGCTTTAGACCTGGCCGCGGATGTGTCGACCAAGTATTCACACTGCGCCAGGTCCTGGAACACAGAAACGTTTACCGGTGCCCGACAATAGCTGTATTTCTCGACCTGAAGGCGGCATTCGACTCCGTTGATCGACAAGTCTTATGGCGATGTCTCCCACTGAAAGGCGTGTGTACCGAGTAAGTACATCACCTTATTGAAAGCTCTATACTCGAACACTTGTTGGCGTGTTAGAGCCTATGATGAGACGTCGGGTGAGCTGTACTCATAGAGTGGTGTCCATCAAGACTGCCCACTCCCTCCATTTTTATTCAACTTTATCATAGATATTCTCATGAAGGTTTCCCTCTCGTCGCCTGATTACATAGACGTTGGCCTAATAGCGGGAGAGTTTTCGTTAGACTTCGAATATGCAGATGACATTGTCCTGTTAGGTGAAGACGCTGACAACACGAGGTCTTTTGAACACTTTGAGTAGCAATTTGAGAATGTTTGAGATGCGTTTCTCACCATCCAAATGCAAATTATTGCTCCAGGATTGGTCTTCAACGGTGCCACGGCTAACAATAGTGTAGTGGTTGAGTGTGTCGACCACTTGACTTATCTGGAAAGTAGGACCAGCCCTGATGGCTCAATGGCCGATGAAATCTCTGCATGGATACAAAAAGCTCGGTTGCCTTTTGCCACCTTACGCCACCTGTGGCGCTGCCGTGATATCCGATTGTCTACTAAGGGTCGCGTGTACTGTACAGCAGTCCTATCTATTCTACTATATGGCTGTGAAACATAGCTATTGAAAGTGGAAGATATGAGGTTTCAGGTGTTTGATCACCGTTGCCTTCGTAGTATAGACTGTATTCCATGGTGTCACCATGTGAGTAACGCAGACGTCAGGTACAGAGTTTTAGGGAGAAGAGGTAAGTCGGTTGATAAGGTTGTGAAACTTCATCGACTGAGATGGTTGGGACAGGTATTACGCATGCCTAGTCACACAATGTTGGCTGAAGTAGGTCAAGGCTGAAAAAAGACCCGAGGTGGCCAGACTAAAACATGGCACCGATGTATGAAGTGTTTAACTGTTGGTTTTAACTATGTGGGGCGATGCAGACTAGGTGGTTGGGGTCGGTGGGGGGACAAGAGGAACCAGTGGTTGCAGACTGACTCTAGATGATATGGGTGAGAACCAATGTGAGTGGTGCAGATGTATATCCACACACATTATCCTCATCTTAACGACGCTATAACGAATCTCACCATTTTCTCATTCTTCCCTTTCTCTCTCTCTCCCTCTCTCTCTCTGAGTACTTTATATTTCTTTTGACTAAATTTCCCTTTCTTCACCTTGCGCCTCACTGCCTTTTTACTTGATGTAGTGATATGAGGTGTGACAACTCGGACCGTTACGCAGTAATGCCTGGTCCTAGGTTGATCTGGATGGATGGGGGATGATGGATAAGACATGTGTTCTTGGATTACATTGCTAGCCATCAACCAGTAGACTTAAGTAAATATTCCGTTCACCATTCGATTTCTTATACATGTTAAGCGTTATTGTAATACTAAAAAACTGTAAATTATACGTAGTTTGTCACTTTGGTTTACTTGACATTCTTTGGGTCGACTACACAGTGCAAGGAACCTTCAAAATCAAGTTGAAAGCCTTGAAAGAAGTTGATGATAGACCACAGTTCAAGTCCAACACTCGGAACAGGATCTGAAGGATGAAGCTACGAAGAACATCTTCACGTCAGCCATCAGAGCGAAATAGGAGACATTGAGTAACATCCCTGAAGGATCGGGCATGGAAGAACACTGTAACTCTTTGAAAGGGATGCGGAAAGAAACCTACATAACCGTACTGGGAAGGAAGAGGAAGGAGGACAAGGAATGGATCTCAATTGACACATGGGAGCCGTTAAAGCAGAGAGAGGAAGATGGTGAAGCAGAAGATAAACCAGTGCGATGCAAGGAGAAACAACGAAAAGAGGAACTGAACACAACGTATAAAACACTTCACTGGACAAAGAAGTGAAGAAGAGTGCACGCAAAGACAAAAGGCATTTCTACGAAACACTGGCAAGTGAAGCAGAATAGGCTGCTGGCTGGTAGGAGAGATCTGACAACATTGTATCAAATAACCAGGTTACTATCTGGGAAGAGGTCAACATAGGTGAAGCCAATGAAAGATAGTGAGGGTGACCTAGTTGGCAAAGAAAACGATGGGCTAAACACTTCAGAAAACTCTTGAATCGACCACCACCTGCAACTCACCCAGAAAAAAGTTAAAAGTTAGCCACTAGGCTAATATTTTACCAAATTAATGACCCTCAATATCTAACATCGTAATATCATTTACAGTAGGTCTTCAGATGATTAAATCCACGAACATACTCAGCAACCTTGTAGACATTCATTCAGTAGGCAGTGAGTTAAGTTTATTGTTGTGTGACGGTTAATGATACTCTCTGACTGACCAAATCTCAATAGATGTAGCGGTGTTCAAACTTTATGACCCAGTTGATTGGTAGTCAACTGACTTAATCTTAGAGTCACACCTTCATATAGGAAGTGAAAAAAAAAATATGATTATAGGGCAAAAATCTACGACAAAGATTGAGAAACTGATTACCCTGTTCCAACAGGATATCCACTTGAATTATGATGATTGTTTAAATATTCTGAAGCATCATCTCTAGTAGTATTTTGTAAATGCGATGATCGATTCCTTCCCCGACCATTTCGAGTTGATACATTGCCAACATATACACTACCGCCAACATTTCGATCTATTGTACGTCGTGAATCCCATATTTGCTTCAATAAAAAACGTGCTATACACACCAATAAACAAATAATTCCAATCGCTCCAACAATTCCACCAAGAATTTTATACAACTGAAAACCAGAATGATCAAATGAGCAATACGGTATTGGATCAATAAGAGAATTTTTATTACGACTGAAATATATTTTCTCATCAGGTCCACATTCGTTACATTCAAAAACTGTATCACCAGCTATGTAAAAGGGAAAAAATGACAAGATAAGTAATGAAAAATGATATTTTAATGATAATGTTATGCAAAACAATATAAAAACTTTAAGATATCACAGTCGATATGTAAAGATTTGAAGGTATTACCCACTGGCTAGCTTGAGGCGACTACACAAAATTCTATTCCCTAATTTGTGAACTGAATTCAACGCTTGGACAATTATGCTTGAAATAGAAAACTTTACCAACACAGCAATGAATTAGTAAACGAGTTTATTAACTTTCCATTTCATTACAAAAGAATGCATAATGACAGTCATTTAGGACAATGCAGATTAGCCGGTTGGGATCCACAGGATTGGAGACTGACTCTAGGTGATATGGCACAGAACCGGTGTCAGTGGTGCAGATGTATACCCACACACATTATCATCATCTTAACGAGGCTATAACGAATCTCACCATTTTCTCTTTCTTCCCTCTCTCTCTCTCTCTCGCACGTAGGTCACACACCCCCTATAACCCGCTAGTGTTCTGATTGCCTCAGGTTCAACCGCCCTCAATCCTTGACTACCAATCGTTAATTATTATTATGGTTTATATTTACCATTTCAAAAACAAAATGAAACAGTAATGTTCACGTAAAGAGGATTTCTACTGGACATAAGTGGATAACAGTTAAAGACAGTACATAACTGGTCTGTTGATGGGAGGTTTGATTTGATGATGAACAAAACCAGACCGCTTACTACAAACAAAATGATAATTAGAGAATAAAAAAAGAAAAACTTAGAAAATTATCAACAAACTGTTTACACTGAGTTTTAAGACTTGACTCACAATGTCTAATTAAGACTGAGAAAGTGTTTCATACTGTTTCCCTTTGCAGACGAATAATAATGATAAAATAATAGTAATAATCACTTTATTCCAACAACAGTAACAAGGAATTCTCAGTATGTGATATTCCAACGAACTTGTATTAACGCATCGTTGATTTGAACCGAATTTCATCAGTATCTATTGTCATCTGGGCTCTTGTATGGATGCTTCGATATTGCCTGTAGTTTCAATTTTTTTTATTAATGATAGGTAATGGCTAGTAGTAGGGCTCAGGACGCGCGTTTCACCCTATCTAGCTACTCGTCAGATAGATGTATCGGATTCGGTGACTTAATGGATAACGGTCTAGTGTTTAAAATCATCAGTCTCTCGTTCGCTTACTGGGAGACAGGTACATCCTAGTCGATCAGTGATTCTCAAATAAAACTTACTTCCTGTACAACATTTATAAACCAAATAACCATTACACATCATCAATATGAATAGTAATAGCAACAGTATTACAGGCAATAATATGAAACAAACAGCTGTCGTTAGATTTGAAGAAGGGATGAGCAAAAAGGGAGTGTAATTTTGTTCAAGCACGACAAAAACCTCAACTTCAATCTAACTATTTAAGGAAAGCATAAAATCTACTGTTGTGTGCTTAAAAGCGCATTGCTGTAACGCTAGTTTTCTTCATTTTATTGTTATAAATTATAAAACAGTTGAGTGAAAACACTTGAAAAATGCACAACAGCTTAGGATATGATTTTAAGACATATTTTAATCAATTAAAAGTCAAAAGGGAGCAAATTGATGAAATATAACTCGGGGGGAAATTGTTGGTATATCAACCGACTGGGGACATTACGAGCCTGGCCAGTCAGTCAAGTGGAACCCAGATGGGAAGTGACGAGTTGGGCATTGCAGCTGAGGGTGACATGGAGGAGATCATGTGAGGAAGAAATGAGAGTTTGTGGGCTGTCGTGGAGCCAGGTTGAAAAGTTTGTAGAGAACAAGTGCACTGGAGACGTGCTACTGAATCCCTGTGTTCCATTAGGAACCTAAGGGACAAATAAATAATATATAATGTCAGTCAACCTTTAACTTTGTTTGTCATTTTAACTATCTGAAATAGCCGTGGTTTGCCAGACTAGTAGTGATACCAGATGATGATTGAAGGTGAAATGAAAATTTGAACACCGACCGGATTCGAAACAGCGTCAATCAATATGATGTTCCCCCTCTCTAATTCAGTTAGATTTGGATTAGTGTGAGCAGTTCTGAACTAAGCAACCAGTGTGAGTACGATGAAGCGATAATAACGCGTCACGAATTCACATGGTAGTTGGGCGAAAACCTTGGTGATTGAAGTGAAATAAAAATGTGACCAGTAGTCGGACCTCATTTCCTCATTTGGTAGAGCACCAGGTCGGCAAACCGGTGGTCACTGGTTCTAATCTGACAGCAGTCCAAATTTTCACTTCACCTTCAATTATCACCCAGTATCTTTAATCTTGTATCTAATTCCCTTACACACTAAAGCAATCTATTCCATCCTACTAAATGAATGCTCCCATTACATACCAGACTATTGATATTATTATCTATAGTTAGTACCCTTCAGAAAACGTTGCATTCTGCTGCTGTCTTTTCAGATGCGTTATGGATGAACTGTTAGCAAATGAAATTATGTCAGAGTCCCATGTGTGACATATATAACATGCATTATGATTGAATTCAAAATTATCAAACAAAGAGTATAACTCAAATGACGAATAAATAATACATCTCAGTGAATGTATACAACTCATGTAGCACACCCTATTGGGATCACTAACGATACTACTACTTCACAACCCCAAACATCCACATTTAGGAAGAAAAAACTCAAACTTGCGGATCACCAATTGAAAGTTGAGTGCAAAAACCATTCTTGTAACGCCATTAGACAATAGAATTTAATTCAACAGGTATAATGCAATGATTGTGAGGTCAAGTATACAGATCAAACAAGCCGATCGGGATCAGTCAGGTTAGCAGAACGCAGAAACCTAGCTAAGTTTGGATTGATAAACCCTAATAAGATGAGCAATCTAGAGGAGAATTCAGCTGTAACTATGCATGCGATAACATACAATTAAACAATAGGGTGCGACAATTACACTCCTCAAAGCTAATGTAGCTAAGTGGAGAGAGAGGTTGATCACTGAATCTCTGTTCATTGACTCAACGCCAAACACGTGTGATCAGAATGATTCAACAAGGATTTTGATGCGTGGATAGTTTTACTAACAATTAAATCAAAGAAGGAGAAAACAACAGAAATATAAATACTAGACCAGAAAGTTGTTCCATTTGGAACTTGTCAGTTCGATGAACCTTCCCCCACCCCACCCCCAGGACAACAATATCTCAACTAAGACGAAATGCGCGACCTAGATTCCACTGCTAACCATTATCTATTATCACTAACAAACTGAAACTACAGGTAATATTGAGCCATCTATGCAGGTGACCATATGTCAATAGAGATCGATCAACTTGATCCAACCAACAAGGAGGAATTACGTAAAATGTCTTACAGTTATGAATCGCTAAAGATTTCATAGGAAACGTTATGATAACTTGTAAAGTCTGATACATGGAGAGGAGAGTAATAGGCACCCGTTAAAGTTACAGAATGACAACTATTCAACTCTTCTAAAGTTCGGTGGTCACAGGTAAAACACTTGACGATGCATAATAAATCATGAGGTTGCTTATAGACAACAGTTGTTGATTCAATTTTCAGTTTCTGAGGAAAAATATCTTTAGACATAAATAGATCCTATGAAATACATTGCAAAACAAATAAACTTACAAAAACACTCATGTCGGCTAACCAAGAGGAAAACATTGAGTAGAGATACGGAAGGGCAATCACAAGTACGAAATCGTTGTTTCGCTGCTACTACAACTTTACTCTGACCTCGTATTATTTGTTGTACATAGGCACGACTAGGCTTTCTGCTACTATTTGATGATGGCAGTACACACTGAGTAATTTGATCATCTTCAACCGGAAATTCTTCAGGACCTGGCCAAAATGGAGGGTTTTGTCTTACACGACCACTAAAACACTTTGTTGGGGAACATGGACTCCATGAAGACCACGGGCACCATTTACGTCGAGTAAGTCTACCTTTATCATCATCAGAATCATCTGCTTCTGAGTATATTGAGGGATTGATTACTAATAAAAACAGGATTGCATTGGATAGGCTGAATCGTGCAAGTATTGAGAAATCAGAAAAAGATGATGGGAAGCCATAGTTTAGAAACATAAAATGGTAGGTGTGCTCCAGATGCATGGAAATTTCATTGGAAATCTAGAAAAAATAAACAATTAGCCTCACACAAGCATCAATCGGAAACAGCAATTTGTGAGAAAACACGTAGTCCTTGGAGAAGTTAATCAAGTCCTTAAGAATTCCTTCAGTATATCATTACTTCCCAAAGGAACCGCTGAAGTCGCCTAGCCTGACAATTAAAAGTACAAGAGTAGACTTCGGAGATACATATCATTAATATTTAACTGGTTACAGACTGAACCTCAGACTATGAACTCAACTTGGTTAAACTTTGTAAACGCTGCAAACCAGAGGAGATCTTAACAACCAATATCCATGGACAAACAGTTTCAGAAACATAAAAGTATGCAGAAACATATCAGTATCTTAAAACGTTGAATACAATGCACCGATATTTATACTAAATTGGGGTCACTATCTCGTACATGGGAACTGACAATAAGTCAGCTTTTAATACCTAAGGAAGTTCCAGCGCGAAATACAATAATTTACAATGGTGTCAAAATACTTAACAACTTATGCGGGACGAACAACCAACAGTGGTGAATATTAACGATATGTCCCAACAGAATAGCCAATACATTACAAACAAACTGTCACAAAGTAAAAGATAGTGAAGCAAGATTTTTTAGAGTATCTACTAAGGTGAAATCACCATGTGAGTAATGTCGTGGTCATGTGAAAGATACTAATCCAAAGCAAGTCAATCGATTGGGTTGTGAAACTTCACCGACCGAGGTGATTTGAATATGTGCCGCATATGCTGGGCCGCTGCTGATGTCGATCTGCCACGCTAACGTGAAAGGAGGTTCGGATTGATCTGACCAAGACGTTGCACCAGCTGATGATGTCTATGACTGTTGGTCTGAGCCGTATGGGGAGGTGTAGACTACTTGGCTGGGGTCGCAAAGACGATAAGAAGTAGTAGTTGGGGAATTATGATGAAATGGCAGAAAATCGGCCACAATGGCATAAATCTATCCACTCTTTGACGTCTTCTTAAGCTTGAATGCTTTGACTGACCTTCATTTTTAAGTCTGCTCTCCTCCCATATACCACTGTCTGGTTTGCTATCACTTTTTTCCTATCCACTTATTCTTTGTATGCTACTGTGAAATACGGCAACTTGAACAGATGCACTTGTGTGTGCTTCTACGTCGATCTTGTCTGTCTGGATTGACGGAAATGTATGGCAGCATTTTTAAGTGACGATTGCTGAAAGCAAAATTACCAACCCAAAGCTTCTAAACATAAGAAAGGTAGGCTAAAAGTTTGATAAATATCCATGAGCTGAAGTATGGTTAGATTGGAAAAATATTCACAGATAGTCAGGTAAAGACATGGTCCAAGTTCATGAAGTTTTATCATTGCAGTGATTGTCCATCTTGGTTTGACTTATTGGGACAAACAAGAATAACAGCTGCGAAACCCAAGTGATATGACACGGATATGAAGACGGATTGATGACTTGACTTTTTCTAAACCATATTACCACACTCACCTATTTGTAAAATCTCTTTACCACGTCTTATGGATTTTCATGACTTTGATAACACTATTTCTCTATCTTCTCTATTTACGCTCGACTTTGATGTGCTAAAGAGGTGTGGCAACTTCAGTTGTGAAGTAATGTCTGGGATTGCTGATGTCTCCTAGTTGATCGCTGCTACCTTGACGTAGTGGTCGGGCTTGCATTTCATAGTGACCCAACGAGCTATGCTGGTGGAAAGCTTGTGCCCTCGAGATCCTACCACGCCAGGAAGGTTTGTTGGATGGTTGTAAGACGAAAAGCAGTTAACGGTGTGGTGTAAATGACTATACTATGGTGGAGATCTGAGGGCGAAGCCGTACTGATGCTAGCTGGATAGGGTGTGATAGTAGTAACGTGTTCCTTTGGATGACCAGCAGTGTCACGTTGATGCTGTCTCCCCAATGGGAAGGAGGGTAGGGAAGGTTGGTCCCCGAAATAGCACTCCCCTCCCTGCCTTACGGTCTCCCGGTGCAGGCGGTATAAGTTGTCTCAATCCAGGGTTAGAAAAACCAAACCTAAAAACGATATCCCGCAAAAGGTAGTGTGTAACAGGCCTCGAGTAGATGTTCCGTATGCTCCGCAGTCATACATCTTTCTGGTACCTTAAGAAGAAATAGACTTGCACGGTGTGGGCGATCGGGAGGTGTCAATCGCCCGCACGTTTCTAGTCAGTTGATGTTTGTACGTCTGACCCCCAGGATAAAATTTAGTGTCGATATTTTTATAGAGAAAAACTGACGACTTTGAGACATACTTCAGCTATGGACTGATCTTTCTTTGTGGCAAGACAGGCGAATTGCCCAAATATCTAGAACATGCTAAACTATACTACTGAATGTGTTTGGTGTCGACTCGACAAGAAGAGATTGTTTTATCAATCTTTCATCCTTATCATCACAATTAGTTATGAGTTACAGTAATTTTTTCCATGCATGCATCGTTGTCACGAGTATCAAATTAAAACAAGGAGTAAATCGAAAATCCAAACACTCCTATCTGCAGTAGAAAACCCCCAACGTTACCTGCAACTCAATGAAAGCCATCCGCTGACAACCACTGATATAAGCCAACGCTTTCCAAATGTATTCAAACCTGGTCTCGGTCACTCCACAGTATCCTAAGCTTTCCTCCGCCTTCGAGAAGACGCCAAACCTGTTTTCCGACCCAAGAGACCAGTGCCTTACGTATTGCTACCGAAAATCGCGTAGAAATCTCCCGTCTGGAAAAACAAGGTGTTCTTACACCAGTTTCTTACTCTGCATGGGTGGCTTCTATTGTGGTTGTCAGAAAGCCAAACGGCTCTATTCTCTTATGTGCAGATTTTTCTACGGGGTTTAATGCAGCACTGGAACAACATGTTGATATTGATTGATGATTGATTGAAACAGCATCACCATTCACTTCCAGCACAGGAGGGTATTTTTACTGTTCTCAACGGCGGTACATGCTCCGTTAAAATTGACCTGGCTGACGCACATCTACAAATCGAGGTGGCACCAGAAAGTCGAGAATTATTAACGATTAACACATGGATTTTACCGGTACAACCGCCATCCATTTGGAATTAGAACAGCTCTAACAATTTTCCAACAAATAATAGGTACCATATTATTTGGCATACCCGGGGTAGCTGCTTATCTGGATGATATTTTCATCGTTGCGGCCTCCTCAGCACAGCTACAAAACCGACTGGGTCAGGTGCTGAAACGAATGGAAGTTAACGGTTTCCGTTTTCGACTCGAGAAATGTCAGTCCAATCTACATTTAGTCCAATATCTGAGATTTATTTTTGATGCTTCCGGTCCGATCAGACCCCAAAAGTATTAATGTCACAAAGCAAATGCCAGGACCGACTGGTGTCCCCTCCCTACGATCATTTCCGGGACTGATTACGTACTACTCAGCATTCTTACCCTCATTGCATGCTGTGAATACGGCGCTAAATCATCTTTTGGGTAAAGACATTCCGTGACAGTGTACCAAAGAATGTGCAACAGCCTTCCGTTTGCTGAAATTATGTTACCATCCGACCTTTTGCTGACCCACTATGACCACAGTTGCCAATCGTTATAGCCGCGGATGCTTCACCTCAAGGAGTTAGGGATATAATCCAACATTTCTTCTCAGATGGTAAAGAGAAGGCCATCGTGCATGCTTCCCGAACGCTATCCCAGAGCGGAAATATAGTCAACAAGTTGAGAAAGAAGCCCTGGTCATTGTTTTCGTCGTCCGTCGTTCCCATAAGCTGGTCTATGGCTGCAAATTTACGCTACTTACAGACCATAACCGCTGCTGGCTGTTTTTGGTTCGTAATCTGATGTTCCGGTTCACCCTGCAAATCGCCTGCAACAATGGGCCCTAACGTTACTAGGATATGATTTTGACATTCATTTTCGACGCACCCAAGAGTTTGGTCAGTCCGACATTTTATACCGTCTTATAAGCAAATATCCTACGATCAACGAAGAAAAAGTTATTGCAACAGTTTCAACAGATTTCGCAGCTTTTGACTTAACATTAGCCATCAAAGTGCTTTCAGTCACCGCAGACGATATTCAGACGGCTAAACGCAAGGAAACACTACAGCGCACAGTCCAGCTTGTTCTCACCTGATGACCGAAAGAAGCGTTTACAGGCGATCTCTAACAGCTGCATCGTCGCCAGAACTCCCTGTGCATTGCCAACGATTGCCCATGTTTCAAAACTAGGTCACAGTCCCTACATCTCTTCGTGACTAAATCCTAAGTCAATTTCATTCCAGTTATCCTAGTCTTGAACCCATTAAGTCAATCGCTCGTAGCTACGTGTATTGGCCGCAGAAAAATCAACAAATTACAGACTATATCAACCGGTGTTCAGAATGTCAACAAGCCTCCAAGCATCTTCCACGACTATCACCCATACCCTGGCCAGACTCCCATGCCCATGGTTGAGAGTTCATGTCGATTTCGGCTGACCCATTGATGGGAACCACTACCTTATTTTGGTAGACGCCCACTCAAAATGGCCAGAAATTGCACTTGTCAACCTGCCGAATACCATGAGGACGTTAAAAAACCTCTCTAATATCTTCTGTTGCCACAGCCTTTCAGAAACTATCGTCTCGGACAACAGCCTCCAGTTCACCTCTACGGAATTCAAAAATTTTTGACACCGACGTACCATACAACATGTGCTATAACCTCCATACCACCTTCAGTTCAATGGACAAGCGAAGCGTTTTGTCGACACGTTCAAAAGGACTCTACTGAAAACATGAGGGGAAGGTACATTCACTGAACATAATTCAAAACTTCCTACTTATATACCGAATAACAACAACCGACTCTCCCAGATAACCCAAGTCCATCAGAAGCACTAATGGGGAGAAAGTTACGTATGACCCCTAATGCTCTAATTCCAAAAGAACAGCCGAAAAGGTTACCAGAAGGTCAAAAATATTTCGAGATCGAAACGCCAGTATTCGCCAGAGACGACAGAGCGGGACACAAACATGGATTGAAGGAGTAATTATCGGAAGACGTGGCTGCAGGTTATATGAGGTCGCAGTGGGAACAGAAACTTGGACGCGACTTAAAAACCAACTACGATACCAAGCACAACCAGTGAAAGAAACAAAACCCAAAGGCACTTCACTAGAAATTCTACTGGGTACGTTCGCAGTACCACGCACAGATGCCCAGAAAACCATAAAACCTTCGGTAAACAAAGAACTACTAGCCCGACGTTGGTCAGATCGGCGCAGAAATCGGACAGTTCGGTTCCAGCTGGATCCCAAGTAACAAACCCAGTCTTTTTCAGGAAAAGGGGGAGATGTTAGAGATGGCTATTCCCTAAGAAACCTAACTTATGTTTATATCATCATTGTTCAAGCCTTATTTTCGCACCCTTTTTGCGCCATGCTATGTCGTTTATTTTTACCGCAGTTTAGGATACTAAACGCTGATCAGACCATTTTGCACTTTGAATGTACTATTCATTTTTGTCTGACCAAGGCCATCTAAGGATATATAAACGACTGAATTTTCATCTATTTTTATATATATTTGGTTGCAGTAAATAATTCTCAATCCCATCGTCTTCTTCTGGTGTCAGCTGAATATCGAGTTGAGAAGTCATTCTTCTATCGTTAATCGTATCGTCTCGGAGCATTGTATCGTTATCTATAGTGTGGATCAAAATAGTTTGGTCCTTTATCTGCTTAAAGTATATTTGTATAAGTGACCTTATGCACACACGTGGTATGGCGAATACCAATCGATACCAACATATCCGCTCATTACTTTCATGTTTGTGGTTATTTTCAGTTTCTTTACTATAATTTTTCACATTTCAATCATTATAGCAGAATTCAAGTGGATATGAAAGGAATCAAACATGAAGTCACTTAAGATTGTTATACACGTTGAGCTGAACCAGTCAAAACAATTATCACCGATATAACACTTTTGAAACCTAATAATATTATCAACAGACTAGGTGATTCTCACAGCATTAAACAAGGAGTTTCTAGGTACCTTATATGTATATATATATACCAACCGAAATGTGAAAAGTTTTTTGTTTTTTCTCCCTAAGGATCGATTATCTGCAGGGCTACCGTAAAAAAAGGTCAAAAAATGGAGGAAAGAAATTAGCACAAATCTATGCCTTTAGCACATTGTGATCAACGATTGAAACTCTCTACTCAAATAAGTGGTATGAGAGCTACTTCGGTGAACCCACTCATGAGGAAACTAGACCATCACACAGGGACCTTCCGCATGGATTAACACGTGTCAGATTGACTTGGTAACCATTTTTACCAAAGATAGACGGGAGCAAATGAAAATAATGCAGTAGGGGAAACCTATAATAATCTCCACAGTTATGAAGATATGAAGCTGCTTACTGCTTGAAAAGCCACCATCTTAGCACTCTGTACATACACATGTATATGCAGCCTTCAAGCTTTTAAATTGAAGCCACATGTAACGACAATCACGTCTGAACGTTTGGCTTTCAGTAGGAGGCTAGACAGCTTTAGCTAGAGCACATCCTTTACTTTTTCCGAGCTACAGTCAGTGGAAGCGCAAGCAGAGATTACAAAGAGTCAGATGCGAGTTTCATCAGTATTCTTAATCTCCAATGCACCATTCAGATGAACAGCAAATAGCGTTCCGTCCAATAGTGAACTTAGTGTTTTAGTGCTTAGCGCCATACCAACACTTGCAAGATCGCAAGAACTAGCGATCACATCTCCAGAAACTCGAAGGGTAGATTTTACCCATTCACTATATTGACCGAGTGAGGCTAACTTAATAACCTCATCTTGGTCCTGCATGCGCGTCTCACAAACACCACACCCATTATCCAAGAAGTCAGAATCTTGCCTACCGAAGCTTGCTGGTTGATTTGACGGGGGCTATGGGTAATGAAAACTCTGGAGTGCGGTTTCAGGAGACGAGATACTGTTTTGTGAACACATTGCTATCAAAAGCTGAAGAGCAGGAAGAAATTAGAGATCGAGTGGGAATGTTGATCGGTAAAATGAAAGGAATATTAGAAGGTAAGGATATAAAAGGTTAATAATGGTCCTAGGAGATTTAAGTCTTGGTCTAATCACCCTTAACCGTCTTCCAATTCAATCCTACTTCAGTTAACATCGCACATTTTCGAGTACTCTAATCAAACCACGAGGGCGATGTGAAGATCTTCGTGGTATGTATTGCATTTGGCCACCTTGTGCACATCCGTGTAGTAGGCAATGAGCTACACGAAGTGTGTGACGGCTTACGATACTATCTGTAGGCGGAGTGGGGCTCTAACTCGCGACCCCGTAGTTGATAGTCATCGCCCTAAACCACTGAGCTACAGCTTCTTCGTGAGGTCAACCATGGAACAAATGGCATCACTGTCTCTTCGAATATGAAATCAAGCCTACCTAGAAACAACAGCGTTGTGACCGAACTCCAGAAACAAGTTATTAACACATGATCGTTAGTAGCCAACGAAGGAAGTACAGCAGATCACAACAAACTCAAATTGGTGAGCAAAATAAAGCAGTAACAGCTTGTACTTTAGTTCTTAACGTGTTGCCCCAGTTACTTTTTGAACTAAAACAGATCCCAGTACCAATAAAAGTAGATTACCTAAGTAACTACCTGAAGCTAATACTGTATGCTCTGCCCATTTTTATACGTGGAGCGTTCATTTCCAAGACTATCAGGCGTCTATCCCACTCCCGTTCCACATATATTAGTACAAAGTTATGTACAAGGTAAGATAGACTGCGGTAAATTACCCCTAATTGACCAATTCGTATGTATTGCATTCATGCGTTTTTGAAGTAAATGACCGTTTGTGGTCATCAAGAAAATAAAGTAAAACGCCACCCTTGTGAGTTACAACCCTGTCAGTTTTAATACAGGAATACTCCGAAAGTGAAGTAAAAACTAAATCCTTTGTGTTAGGTCTCGGTAACGAGCAGAACATCAGAAACTAGTTTTTAACCCTGGGATTTTATTTCTAACGTTGAGGACATGTAGAAGATGTTGAGAATGCTCAAAGAGTCACTCGATCATAGAAACCTTCGTTTCCAAGACTTCACAAATCGAAATTCCACAATCCCAAAACTATTTTCTCCCTCTTATCAAATATTTAGTTTGGTGAGTGCTTCTATTCTTTTTATAAGACTCTCGAGAGGCCAATCTGGTTGGATTTGGATGTTTGAATTATGTAGTTTAGATGCGTCATTTATGAGTGGATATTTCCTCTAACCTAGAACAACTTTCGAAATCCTCCAATTATCAGGACGTTTATGCCTGATATACTAACCAGTTAGCATGACATCACGTGTGGCATCTCAAATGTTTCAGATTATATTAAACGTTGGAGAAACACTCCTAGATATCACTTTGACGGCCTTCGAAGCATTCCCAACGGGTCATAACTAATCAAAATCATTGTTACCTTCTGTAGCATCAAAGTCATCTACACGGATGTAGATGCAGTTTATCTGCAAATCAGTAGTCATTATACTTAGTGTGCTAATTTCCTTTGGTTTCCTTTTACATTGGTTACACACCGAGACTAGTGTCACAACATCCCTTATTTAATCATTGTCATACAAAACTAGTCCAGCTATTGGTATCTTGTTCGACAGCTTTTTGATGGTACAATCATTTGATTCCACATTCGTACAATTTACTGTTCCCACCACATGAATTTTTTACCAACACCTTCCTGAATTACAGCAGCCACGGGCGATCAGGTAAAGTGGCATAGCCGAAGATAAGCCAGTTTGCTGCAACATTTATAAATGGCTGGTGACAATCCAGTGCATACTATAAAACCAGCATCCACATGCATCACACAACATTTGCCATCCAAGAAGTGGCAGTTAGGCCGCCTATGAACGCACTTACCACTAACCATTATTTCTACAAAACAATGCCAAGTTCAAATCACAGATGATACTTACTTTTAGCCTTAAGAGACTAAACTGACGATACGCACACAAAATTGGCAAGAGTTACAGTCAACGATGGTTGGTAAACTGCACTTCAACTTGAAACATTTACGCAGGGATTAACAGCTGAACCTAAGTCGGGATAAACCCGATGAAATGGATCATACATATAACAATAAAACGCAGCCCTTTCGAGACGTAACAAGTTTACAAATGACAACTTCGAAACGGAAAGATAAGATCTCAGACGTTGACTAAATTGCTTCAAGCCAAAATCTTTGGAAGAAGGCTTGGTGTAGCTTACACATTTTCCGCACCGTTTTCAGAGCGCTTGCTTACCAAACGGGAGAATACTAGAGGGTGCAGCGTCACGGTACCAACTTATTGAAATATACTGCTTTTATGCAAAATGCAACAAATAACAACATGCGGCAAATCATTTCTAACTAAAACTAAATGGCTTTGAAGCTAAGTCGTTTCCGTTGGCGAAATAAGTGACCAGAAAGCCTATGCTTAAACTGACAATTTACTCCGAAAAAGAAAACGTTTTATGGAACAGACAATCAATAAGGAGTAAGTACAGTAAACTGCCGATATCAATCAAAATATGGTTCAGAAATTACCGATAGACTGAGTTACTCCAAGGTCTGAAATGAGCTCCTTATTTAGTGTTCAATTCAACATTCAATATTGAAAGTACCAGCTCAGAAGACTGATAGCTTTCGATTTCTCATGTCTATCTCTTAGGATGTGTTTTGAGTTGTTCCGTTTGCTCTTGGAGTGGACGAGGAAATCTCTCCTTCTTACTTGCCTTTAGCTCCGGTGAGGCGAATGTTTTTATGGGTTACTAAATTGCAATTCGTCGAGCGATTAGGTAGCTATGGGTTGCTGGGATGGTTAAGAGGCTGTCATGACTCCTGTCTGTGTGGGTATGTGAAGTGGAACAACAAGATAGCGAAGAAAAGTATGTGGGAATTTCTCAAAAGGTAAAGGTAGATAGAGGGGGTCTACTGGCTAGCGAAGGGTTAGTAGATAATATAGGTGTATCAACAAGCTAGGTAGTAGGTGATAGGTAGGAGGGAAGTCTTAGCGGGCTGGTAAGGTTAGTAACTTCTTGGCTACATCAGTGGTAAACTGCTGGAAATTAAATAACTCTCTATTCGTCTTTTGAATGAATCTACCGAGGGGCTGTGACTACATTCCTTCATAGGGCATTCCATGAAGCACATATTCTCATGGAAAGGAAGCTAGGTATGAGCGTGGTGTCAGCTGTCTGATCTGCTACTCTTACGGGGCTCCCTCATGATGACCACGGTTTAGCAGGCAAGGCCACTTTGTTTGCTCGATTTGCCTGATGGATTGTCTTGCAGGCCATAATAAGGCCACCCCCCCTACGCGATAATCCAAGGTGAATATGTTTAGGTGTTTTAGTATTTCGGAGTATGCCTTCCCCGTTAGCCCCACAAATGATTTTGTTGCAGACCTCCGGACTTTTTCTAGGATATTAGAGTCCCTATTGAGTGTCGGAAGTGCCGCCGTATTGAAGGTCTTATAGTGCGACTATTCGTGTGACTGGAAAACTATGATAAACAGCTCAGGGATGGGACACCAGGCCGTCTATGCAATAAGCACGAAGTGGCGTTCGCTCTGGCCGCCACACCCTTGTAGTTGGATCTGATGTTCAAGGTGTCGGAGTTGAGTCCAAAATTTTTTCCGCGGATACTTTGTTGACAGCGTGGTTGTTCAACACACATCAGAAGTTGTCCGCCCTCGCTTCACTGGTGTGGAGGAGTATTGCCTTGGACTTTTCAAGGTTGAGGCTCCAGCCATTTTCTGACAACCAGAGTTCCGGCTGTTGCAGGTCATTTTGTAGTACTGTACAGTAGTGGTAGGGAGATTTTATGTGGCAGACAGTTGACAAACGGGAGGAACAGAAGTGGTGCTGTGCTTCCCTCTTGGAACACCCCCGAAAACGATGACCTCCACTCTGACCGTCGTCACTTTGCTGCAAAACTGTCCGCCTTCTAGGTACTCCTTGAACCAATATAGTATGGATTCGCCTTACTGGCGGACATTATTTTATGAAGCAGTAGTCCTGGTGCAGCACTGTCAAATGGTTTAGTCAGGTTTAGAAGAACAACAAGCACTGTTTTTCCGCTGTCCAACCTAAATCTTCAGTTGTCCCAGACAATCAACGATTTTGTAGTTCTTGAACGGTGACTCAGGAAGCCATGCTGAGCAGTATAGACGGTGTTTACCTTATCACGGAATCCCTAAATCTCGTTAGTTATCGGGCTTTCTAATACTTTAGGCAGCACGGAGAGCAAGACGCCTGGTCTGTAATTGTCAAAGCTCTTACTCTCTCCCCCACTGAAGGTGAAGGTCGTGCAATCCTCTTCTTTGGGGAGCTTGCATGAGTATTGCCAGTGCTTAAAAGAGGTGACAGGATTGTAAAGGAAAAATGATCTGAAAATCCCTCCCGATCACCCTTATTTGATTGTATTGACATTTATTTTAACATTTTTACCCTCGTTATGGATGGTGTACCTTTGACCCTCGCCGGTGTAATGTTATTTGCTTGTTTAACTGTCTTATTTGACTTTACACTCGGTATTTGCCTTTGTATGTTTGAGACTTATTATGAGTGTTTCACTTTCCTATTATGTGACGCTGGACTGTTGATAAGGTGATGTTGTTTTACTGCGCACGACATTTTGTTTTGGTTCAACTTACGGTTGTGCAGTGATTTGACTGTTTGTCTTTTGACTGTCTACTGGGAACGTTTGTTTGTTGATTTGATTCCTGTAGGCAGAGTTTTGATCCCTTTTGCCGGGAATATTCCTATTGACCGACAGGTATTTAACAGTTGTATTTTTTAACCAGTTTTTACCGTGTAGTACGTATTTGTACCCGAGAACGTTTTGGACTGTATAGTTACCCAACGGCACTGTTGAGGTATTTTTGTAATTTGACATAACTTATTGTTGCTTTGATAGTACCACAGATTTTGTTACGAATCTACTATTGAATTACTACAAACCGTGTTTTGATATTTCGATCCAACCTTTGACTGTGCGTCACTCGCGGAAGTTAGGAAGCTATACAGTAGAACGCAGGAACTAGTCAGATTCACGTCAGTTGGCACCGCCTAGCTATTTCCCGCGTTCAGGCCAAGATTATTGGATTCTGGCCGCTACAGTACTCAACAACCCGTCACTGCTGTACCTGGCAATCGCAAGGTGTTCCTTGAGTCAATTCCGGACGGGGAAGGTGACATGTCCATGGATCCGACCTCAGATACCAAGCAAGTCCCTCTTGATGTTATTTCATGCCGTGGCTCTGATAATGGTACAGTTATTGACTATAGTAAGACTAGTCCTTGTAGGACCTCTGCTCAGTTGAAGGTACGACAGTTGGATGAAAGGCAAGAGTTGGAACTTCGTGAATTCAAGGCTAAACAAAGACAGGAAAGGTTGCGTCTGCATAAAGAACTCAACTTAGATGTGAATGGGGGTTTAGGTGATACCTTTTCCTTGGATGATGATATAAAGTGTCACAAATCAGTTTGTCTTGGCATTGACCCTCATAGCAGTTCTGATCGTGAAACGACTAGCCAGGCGAGCAGCGCAGAAAACAAAGGGGTTGCCGCTACGTTGCCTTGTGTCAGTGTTGGCCATGAGTTACCGAAAGTAGAATTAAGCAGCTTTGACGGACATCCAGCCAAATATTGGAAGTTTATGAGGCAGTTTGAGCTCTACGTTGTCTCTAAGGTTGATGATGATGGACAGAGGCTGTTATACTTGTTACATTACTGTAAAGGTAAGGCCAGGGAGGCTATAGAGGAATGCATTATGTTACCACCATCTGCTGGTTATCGTAGGGCTCGGGATATACTCAGACGTTTGTTTGGAAGGACTCATGAAGTCAGCCGGGCCTTACTACAGGATCTGATGGAATGCTCGAACATAGAACAAAACGATGCTGAGGCAATGTCGAGGTTAGCTATAAAAATGGAAAACTGCGCTATAGCCCTAGAGCAAATGGACTATACTGCGGACCTTAACTCCTTGAGAACTTTAGAAGGTATAGTAAAGAAATTGCCCCGTGTGTTACAGATGAAATGGGCGGAGACTGTCGAAAAGCTAACTGAAACCGAACGAGAACCTACCTTCGCAGAGTTAACGCAGTTTGTGTCAGCACGTGCGAGCATTTTGCTAAGTAGGTTTGGACAGCTGGCAACAAGCAGTCGACGACCAGATAGTAAAATAGCATGTTCCACGCAGCAGCTAGTACCCGTTGGGGGAGTCCTGAAACCTTCATGTATATTTTGTGGAGGGAACCATGTAGTCACAAAATGTACCACATTTCTGTCGTTACCGGTGGATGAGAGATGGTCGAAGGCTAAAGAAACAGGTTGTTGTTTTTCATGTCTTAAAAGGGGCCACAGGTCCGTAGAATGTAAAATTCACGGGGTGTGCAGTGTAGAAGGTTGTAAAGCATACCATCACCCTCTGTTACACAAGAAGACCCACCACGCCGTAGGCGAACAACCGGAGAAAGGTAGTTGTGGATGCACTGAGTCTCTCAGAGAAAGCGTGTGTTTGGGCCTACTCCCGGTACGTGTAAAGCACGGTAATAAAGAGGTTTACGGTTATGCTATCTTGGACAATGGCTCTGATACAACTTTGATCACGAAAGATGTTTTGCAACTTCTAGGATTGTCGACTGACGGCACAAAGACTATCATCAAAACTGTTAGTGGAAGTAGATTGGCGGACTCAGTCAGCAAGCCTTTCGAAGTTTATTCACTAGACGGAAACGAATGCATACTTATAGATCGAGCAGTTGTGGCAAGAGATCTCCCAGTACGGAGACCTAAAGGGTCGATGCGAGAAAGTATTAAAAGGTGGCCGCATCTGACTGACGTACCCTGGACAGAGGTGGAAGACGGGGAGGTATTGCTGCTCATCGGTTGCGATGTACCTGAGGCTCACTGGGTTCTAGATCAGAAGTTAGGGGGCAGAAAGAGCCCATATGCTGTGAGATCATTGTTGGGCTGGGTCGTGTTCGGTCCGACAAGCTTTCGTGAGCACAGGGAGAGGGTTGTGAATTGTACGTCTCGGTCAGATCTATTAGTCGATCAATGGAAGAAAATTTACGATTATGAGTTCAGCGATTTGTACTCGGGAGATAAGTCGTTATCTCTCGATGACCTAGCCGCTGTAAACATAGTGCAGCGAGGTACTTATTGGGATAATGGACATTTCGTTGTCCCCTTGCCCTGGAAAATGGAGTCCAAGAGAGTATACGGTGGATGCGAAGTAGCCAGGCGACGTTTGGAGAGTTTGAAACGCAGACTAATATCCTCTGAAAGCCTTCGCGAAAGCTACACTAGCGCCATGGAAGAGACCATCAGAAAGGGATATGCAGCAGTAGCTCCTGAGCCCCAGCTTGATCCTAGCTACCGCCCACGATGGTATTTGCCGCATCATGCCGTATTTAACCCCAAGAAACCGGGGAAGGTAAGAGTTGTGCTGGACTGCGCTGCCAAACTGTCCGGAACTTCTTTAAATGACTTCCTGTATCAGGGACCAGACACGACAGCGAACTTGGTTGGAATATTATTGCGTTTTCGCAAAGAACTGATTGCCCTGACGTCCGATGTGGAAG